TCTAGGCAATCGAATAATTAAGAAGCGGAGAAGGTTATCCTTAAAAACGAGCGCAAAAATTTAGACATGTGATTTCAGGAACTTGATATGATTTTGCGGAAGACTTTGGATTTTTTCTCAATTTATTGCTAACAAGCTTTGAACAAAAATATAAAATTTAATTTAATCAGCCTTTATCGAAATAATTATAAGCGTTACAATAAAATAATATTTAGACTCTTCCTGGTTATAAAACTAAAGCTAATTGTTATATAAAGCGCCAAACATTTAAAATAAAAACAAGGAAAAAAACATTTGCAAATGAATTTATTTTAATTCGACTTATTATTAATTAAATTTTTAAATAAAATTGGTCTAGTTATTTGGCTTTAAACAAGTATTTAATTATCTGAAATAATGCGGCTTATCAAAGTTATTATTATGGCTTGGCTAAAATATTTGTGACCAGAGACACTATTAATAGCGCGCATGAATAGAATATTTAATAACTAAAGCTGTTCATTCACATTTTGACGTTTTCAACAAAAAGTATCTTTTCGTCGACATCGTGAATAGCCAAACTAACTATTATACAGTCAAACCTGGTTATACGAAGATCTGTTTATAATGAAGATTTTCTCTTAAGCCAATCATTTTGAGTCCGTCTTTTTGCGGCCAGCAAAATTGAAGAAATTAACCAAAACTGGGAAATAGAATTGGCGAGTTTTTGTTGCCTGCTCGATTTTCCTTCGCTCAAATCAAGAGAGAAGGGGCTAAGGCTCGATATACTGTATAAGCAAAACTCGTTCAATAACCCGGAAAGGAAAAAAAGAATACCACAATTCGTTCAACTAGTTACTGAACTTAGTAACACGGGAATTATCAACGGTAGAATGCACGCATTTTTTGACTGGAGAAGAGCTTGACAAGTGGCTATCAAATGGCTCAGTTTCTCGTTGGAACCAAGAGATTGTTTACCTGCAAAAACCTTAACATTGACAGAGAAATCCGCTTACGTATGGAATCATGGCAGATGAAAGCACCAGAGGGGAGAAAAAAATATTTCTAGTTTGCTTTATAATAAAAAAGAGGAACCTATGTTGATACTAGCAACAATGACAGATATAAATCAGTGCACGGGGACTGATGTTGCAGCCGTTCTAGAGACATGCAAAGACTATCAATTACTTGACCAATAGTAATACTCGGGGCTATAACATTTCCATTATTTCCCGCATTAGGGGGGTTGGGAGCTAAATCGGTTGGCTGTCCACCTGATGTTATCCAATCTTCATCCCATACTGAATGAGGTGGAACTAATGGTCGCGCAGGTAGATTACCATTGGCTGGTGCGGTCTCTCGAATAGTCCGAGCTCTACCTCTAAATCTGGCAACATCGATAGCGCGTATTTGATTATTAGTCAATGCGTTAATAGCGTTAAGAGTTGCCACGCCAATATTTGCGGTAATGTTTTGTAATTCCCAATTTTTATTTTTAATCCTGCTTTCATACCAATCTTTCGCATCGCCTTCAAGGCAGTTTTCAAAATTCCATGAATTCTCATTCGCATATTATGTCCCGCACCTGGGTCATAGTTAGCACATTCACACCATCGGCAAAAATCTCTAATAAAATCTTCTGGATCTGTCAATCCGTGAAACTTTGGTAATTCATATCCTGCCATGTTTCGATTGTTATTATGATTCTGCGGTATATTATTTTGTAAATCTAAAGTTCTCTCATTTAAAAAATTAATTCGCTCTTCAAGTTCTAAATTAGCATTGCGGACTAGCCTCGTTCTAAGCTTCCATTTACTATATTTTTCGTGTTTAACTTTTGACCCTGTGTTTCCATTTCATGTGCTTGGCTTTAGACTGAAATTTTGTCAGTAAAATTTCGCAGTTTACTCTCCAAAAAATACGCTTTTTTTGCTCGCCATTATATTCTTCAACATCTGTTCCACGCAACTAGCATAACCTGGAATAAAAATACAATTAACCAGACTTAGGAAAAAAATTTCCAAAGTTCCAAAAGACTATCCCGTAAAGAGTACAAACCCTGAATTCTCGTTTAACATGTAATATATATTAATATTGTTCTTCAAAAACCAATTTGTCATTTATTCTGATTCCCATGCTACATAGATCAGATAATTGGTGAGAATTCCTAGTTTTTTTTTACCTAAATCAAAAACGTGATATTAATCTAAACGAGCGAATTTTGGATGCTTAATTATTCACAATTTCCATACATACTTTCAATTATATTGGCCAAACTTTGGATCTTATTTTCGATTCTATCAAGCTGTTCCTGAACTTGAGCTTTATTCTTAGTTAACGCCATTTCTACTATTTTTTTCATCATCTTTTCCATGCCTGTAGTTACAGACGTGATACACGGTTCCGGCCCTTTTTCTCCGTTATATCGAGAGATCCGCTTGCCCATAAAAACTTGAATATTATACCTATTATTAATAATATCATCTCCAAATGTCTGACGTATCCCTTGTTCAACATTCATTTCTCTGTAGGTATCTATCTCGGGCGGAACACTTTTCAATCTCGCAATATCATCGGGTGGGATGGATATTTTCAACATTTTGAATTCATTAATGCTAACATTATTTCTACGAATAAACAAGTATTATTGCATCCCTAATATCTCCAACCATTTCTTCTTCATAAACATTAACGGGAAATCCTGTTTCTATTCCCTGTAAGAAACACCGGAGAGAAATCTTAGACTCGCTCATTTTTGATATTGGCACTAGGATTCAATTTTTATCGTATTTATGCATTATTTCCATGTCGATCTCGGTAATCCATTAACTTCTATACAACCCCTGAAATATTATTAATTACTGCGGTTAATGACTTTTCACATGTAGATAGCTATCTTTTGTATAACATATGCTTTCGTCGTCACTGTATGAGCTCCCTTCATATTTTTCTCACGTTTGTTTGGGAAAAAATAAAGAACGAAGGTTAATATGTTTTCTTTTTTCGAGGCATTGTATCTTGTATGAAAAAAACCCTGCCTTGATTGTGGGTTTCCTACCGATTCTACTACTACTATAGGATGTTGTTCCGATTTTTCGATCAGGCACGTGAGTGTTATTATTCCATAATATAATCGTACGACCTGCTGATTGTTACGTACGCGTTTTCTTTGTGAAAAGTTTTTTTCGCTGTGCATATTTACATAGTAAATGTCTATAGGCCTGCATCGCCCCAGTTCCACATTCCGAGACCAGAAATGAGCGGAGGAAACGGTTTAAAAGGATAGTATGTTTACGCTGTGTTTGCTCGTCGCTTCTTTTTTGCTTGCGCTATCGATATATTAACAAAATTTTTATATTACCAATTGACATGTCTACCGATTTGTATAACATCATTTACGAGTTCTTAACAACTGCCGAACAACATCAAATAAATGCTACCTCTGTTATATATCTTGGAATGTGAGAAGACCGATGGATTCCACAAACCGAATTAAGGTCAATTGTAGATCGAGTTATAACTTCTGCTAGCAATGTATACATGGAGGGTTCATCGCGCCAATTTCCCCGCAGGTTAGTTAAAGTTTTATATGGATGTTTTAAATTCTATTATATGATGATATTGTGTGATCTATTGGTGGAGGGAATGCTGAATAAACAGGCTATATAGTTTTAGTTTGTTGCTTATGTTATTCACACCCATTCAATCGGCCCCCAATAAAACTTGCGCATAATGGAGGGGTGTATAAGCTATAGACTGTTATGCAGTATTGTAGTTCACTCTAGTAACCTATTATGTGAAAAGGTTATTGCACGGTCGGGGTGTGGAGCATAAAGTTATTATGTAGATATTCAGTATCACACAAAGTTTCGTCAGCGTGATGGCCACACGAAGATGTTAACTTTGCATATGCACTGATAATATAAGTTATTTTAATGATGAATTTTTCTATATTCTGAAAACTAACGCATTGTATTTTTACCTAGTTTGATATTGCTTTTGAAGGAGTTGGTGCTTTATATGATATGGGAGTAATCAAGACGGATGTGGAGAAACCGCTTAGCTCCGATCAGATTAAAAATAATGTAAATTACTTGAAAAGGAAACTCGGGAAAGACACTTCTCCACTTTATCAGCGTTTATACTCTGATGTAAATGAGATCTCAGTTCACAGTTTAACTTATAAGGACCCCTTAGCCAGTCAAGTTATTAGTGATACATCAACCCTCATACAAAGATTGCCTGGACATCTAAAAAAAGCATTTATGGTATGTAATTATTAATGGACAAACATGATTTTCGATGAAAAGCATATACTCCACTTAATATTAACTTAATCATTTATATAGAAACCAACACGGCTGATGAAACCTCCGCTTATGCCAAGGATTAAAGACCTGTGTAGAGAATTTGTATCGAATACTTCCAGCCATAATTATTCCAATAGATCACCAGAAAAGTTAATCCACGATGGGACATGGAAAGAATCCGAAAAAGAAATCACATGCGTTGTAAAGGAAATTTTTGGTGTTCTCGAGGATATTTGGAATAACCCAGCCCTTGATTTCGAAGTATCAAAATCGTTAAATGAAGGAACTTATCAATCTACCGTTATTGTACCAGCTATTCGAGCAGTATTAAGAAATCTTCCTTTTAGGACATCCTCCTTTATCACTACCTCGGAAAAACAGAGTATTGCTAGTGCCGATAGGAAGGGGAATGGGCAAATGGGGAGACGTCCAGATATCATGCTAGCAATGAGGTATTTGGATGTGACCTTTGAACTTATGTATGTTGAATGCTCCCGCTTAATTTGTAGCCCACAGAAAAAGATCGATGACGAGATAAAATTATGGCGTGAGACTAATGACGGACTATATTGGACGCGAAAAACTCTTAATCCGGATAAAGATCAATTCGGAATAGTTGGGGTGCAAATAGCAGGTGATACCTTACATCTGAATGTTCTTGTCAGGGATAAAGTCAATATTCATAGATATTATCATATTCAATCGGCTACAATTCCTGTGCGAATATCAGATGAAGATGTAGTAACTAAGTTTGTGGAAACCCTTTTGCTTTTACGTAATATAATTATTACTAACTTATCTTTGTTATATCACGCATCAATAAGTACATCAGAAAGACAGAGAGAAGATAGTACTACAGTTTCCACTCCACTATACGATATTTAGTCACAATAAAGATGTCGCTTTTTCATTATTATCGGACACATGATCAAGTGACGAGTTATATAGTCATACTAATACTGGGAAATTATATCATGCACCCGAAATAGATCACACATCCCGAAATAGATTATGTAACGACCCAGATACAGAACGACGCATTACAGTATCAATAAACCAACTATCTTTCTATCGCTCTCGGCTATGTATGTTCCACGAACTTTTATGCTGATCCCGATTGGTTGATAATCTTCCGGTTTTTTAATTATTCTGATTGGATGGATCACACCAGAAATTAGCAGGCTGGCGATTGGGTAATCGTCGTATACATACCATTACCGATTATCGGCATTTCCACGCTTCTTTTTTTCACGAAAGTATATGCTTTCGTCTTGAGTAGGACATCGGCTCTAGGAATAAAATCCTAACGGCTCGTCGAGTAGTATTGCTTTTGTCTTTTTATTATTAATACACTACATACCTTTTTTAAACCGTCGTAAGCTTAGCAATGTCATCTATTAATAAACGAAAAGAAGCTGTCACGTCGGAGGAAGTATTACCCGGAAAAAAGAAACTGTCTCGTTATAATAAGAAACGCAAACTCGAAAAAGAACAAAATATATCATTTCCAGAACCTAACATACTCATACCGTCGCCAATAAACATCATTTTCGATCCAAACCGGGTATATATTACTTCTAGACTGCCTTCGGCAATGCTCTTTATATATTATGTGTGCTAGGTTGCTTTTGTGTGACAGATTGGTCGCCTGAGTTATTTGTATGGGTATATTATGCGACAATAGGCACATGATTACCGTTAGGTGGCTCAGTACTTAGGCGAGGGCGATTCATTCAGTACGCAAAAATATGTGACCTAGCTACAAAATAGCTCTATTTCATGAGAAAAATATTCATCTATATATTTTATGCGCAATGTGGAGTTGAAGACTTGTATTCTAATGTCTTTTGGTAATATTCCTAGCATCGAACTCAGAGTGCCACCCGAGGATTATCCACGTACGATAAAATAAATTATTTGGAAAATGAATGGAAAAGTGTACCTATTCTCCCATCAGATCGTGTATCGACTTCGAAAAACAAGTTTCGGCATGAAATTTCTACAAGAGTTTTAATAACTGAGACCTTATTAGAGAAGCGAAGGCTACTAAAATTGATGTGTATAATTCATTTGAGATTCCTCCTGAATTTTCCGCATTGGTGAATAGAGATATTATCGATGGTATTTCGCTAGAATTGGATAAAAGCTTATGGATTTTATTCGGGGTTTGGCTAGGCTTTAAAGGGAAAATCAAACGAAGGGAAGTGAGACAACATCTCCGCTTGGCAACGACTACGACATACGTTGGATTCTCAAAGGAATAATGAGTTTCCGGCTACGAATATCACGGCAAATATTTTTAATCTGCGTTCACCACGTATTACAGAAAAAGAAAAAATTCGAATGATTATATCAGTACGTAAATGGCGATCCCCTGGAGAAATAACTGGGTTTCGTCACTTAGTAAATCCGGGACGTGTCGTCGATGTTAATGGCCAGACCTTGCTTCACCTAGGATTAGTAGATAATTTTGATGCTGTGGAGAAAGCAACGGACGCGGTGAATCATTACTATTTTCATACATTAAAGCACCCATCACATAGAAGCGAAAGTTTCTGGAAAAATTTTATTGAGCATTTTGGTGCGTTTACCTTGAACAATCCATTTTCCTATACTAGTTCTAATACTGCAAGTAGCCACAATTCCGACCTCAAAAGTGTGTTGATAAATTGCTCTGCGACTTCCACCCGTTATCTAATTCCATTAATCGATTTCTTAAAAAGTATTATGGTAATCTATACGAGAAATTGAGTAAATTAGAATGGGGCGCGTTTGCTCCTCGACCATTTGGGGTTTTCCCAATGATAGCAATCAACTACAATACCATAAGTGACTATCATTGGGACGAGAACGACGAATCAAATAGTTTCTGTTGCTTGGTTGCATTGGGGGATTTCGAAGGAGGTGAGCTTTGTTTCCCTCAACTTAAAATAGTTGTTCCACTCCGACCTAGACAGATTATATTGTTCTCCTCGCGTTTATTGCTTCATGGAAACTTTATAGTCACTAAAGGCATCCGTCATGGTATAGTATACTTCGTACATAGCTTATTTTTCCACCACCAGCGGGATTTCTCGAATATTTATAGTGACCTTAAAGATGGGGTAGAAAGAGATACAAAAGGGAGGGTTGTTCCTACGATTCCTCGGCAAGATCTTAATGACGCACGAGATTTGAATAACCGAATCACACTCTCCCCAACCGAAAAAAGTCAAATTGAGATACCAGAAAGATCTTGTGATAAGAGGCGAGGGAATATTGGTAAGTAATTATTTAACATGGGCTAGTACGTTTAATTGTTAAAAATCGCTAATTATACTCGCTACTTCTTTACAGATTTGTCGCGTGCCAGACGTGGGTTGAAAGCAGAGGATGATGTATAGCATCGAATCTTTGATTCCCCACTACCCGATGGGATATAATTCGATACTTATATAGCGAAAATAATTATATAGATTTAGCGGTTTTAAAATGTAAATATATCAGTTGATCACTGGTTAAATAAAGATTTTCGTGTAAATATATCAATTGTCAATCACAATTATTATTTTCTTGGCAAGTGATCAGTGTGAACAATTGTTCCATGGGCATATTTATTTGAATTAAATAATAAAATACTTAAATTTTTCAAGATGTATACAATAAAAACCTTTTTCCAAACACTTGTGATAAAGTTATATAAATTAATATCAAACATGCAAGACCAAAGGGATAACCCTAAAGACCTATCCGAATTAGATTTGTTGAAAAAACGCATCGCTGAACTTGAGGCCGAGAATGCGAAGCTGAAGCAGATTATTATTATTGAGGAGAATACAAAGCGCGATGTTAGAGTTGAGGAACTAGAGCGAAAAAATACAGAGTTTGAGGCCAGACTCGCGATATTGGAGCAGGGTGTTACCGAGGTAAGCCACAGAATAATGATATTCCAGAGATAACGGTATCAGTTGTTGATGTATCCTATTCCGTAGTAGAGAATCTCAATAATGAAGTAGGACGAGCAGTTACCTATAATAACGCACCTTGTGATAATACCAACAATGAGTCATCAGAAGATAAGGAAATGGATGCTTTCTTGATTTTGCGTGTCCTTTATTAAGCACAGCTAAGGTGGACCTCTAAAGCTGCTTTTGGATGCTTTCTTGAATGAGGTGTATAAGTAATAAGAAAAATGTTAATGACACAATTAAGCAGAGAAATCGGGAAAAGAAACTTCAAGCTCAAGAGTCTTTTCCAACACCTCAAGATCTCAACTCAGTTACTCAACCATGCAATAGCACAACATCCGAAGCATCAGCTACCAATATTATGGAATCCTCTTATTATTATTCAGACAGTGATAAAATTGTTTCTCAAAACAAAATGGGAATAGAGCATAAGAAAGGTAAAGGATTAGACAAGCTTAAACATGAATTGTTCGCCCCAGAAACATCACAAGAGCCATCAATAAAACAAGACAATGTGACCGAAATTTCAGAGACATTATGTCCGGAAAAGTTACCTCTGATAACAAATCTATACTATATCTAGCATTGATGAGGCCTCACAACATTTAGCTCAATTATGCGATGAAGCTTTCAGTGCTGAAGATAGAGCAAATCGAGCTAATCAAGAAGAAATTTTATGTTGGTCTCTATATGCAAAGGATTTTAGAGTTCAATATAATGAGATTATAGATAGTAGCAGAGGTAAAATTGGTGAAAGAAGGTGAGAAGCTTATTATATGATTCCATTACAAAACGACTTAGTTTACTTCGCAATCTGAGATCCAAAGAATTAGGATTACAACTTCGAGAGATATCACGAGATAGTTTGCACAAGAAAACTCAGAGAGCTGGGAAAGTCTATAAATTTTTCGAAAAAGTGGGCCTTAGGCCTAGATAAAATCAAGTATATTAAATCTTATAGTGCAACTTCTATTTCGGAGCTTACTAATGAGCAAATCCAAGAGGTTATAGATTATGGAATATCTTTGGAAAAGTTACCTCATATGACTGAAATTTCCAAGACATTATGTCCCGGAAAAGGTGTGACAAAGAATACTCCACCAAAAGCTGAAGTAAGTATATCTAATGAATCGATTTCTTTAGATTCATCCCAGGAAAATAATCAAGATAAGTCAAAGACTCAAAATTCTGTTTCCTCGAAATTACCAGATGCTGAAGTAAGTATATCACAGGTAAATACATCTAGCCACCTTGTGACTACCTCTGACAATAAATTTCGACCTCCTATCTCTATTTTACCCGATAACCCAGAAGAGAAGCGAAAATCTGTTATTAATAAAGTTCTAGAGCAGTTTCCTTATTTATCTTTTCGAAGTATAGCAATAAAAATCACGATTATTTTGATTTTAATAGTTCAGTATCCTGTCCTATATGCAATAAAGATCATAAAAAAGAAAATATAAGATATAATGTAGAGGGTGAATGGGGTAGTGGGGATTATGTCAATACAAAAACCTATCGTCTCAAATGCTGGGAGGCTTATCAAAATTCAATCTAAATAGTAACGGTGAAAGTATAGACTGGTGATTTCGAATATTAATATCGTTGACCAATTCAACTCGATATTCACTATTTCCCGGATACGTTACGCATTGATCAGGCACGGAGTGCACTGCTCCGCAGATAAACCAACTATTTTTTTTTCTATCGCTCGGTTATGATGTTCTACGAACTTCTATGCTGATCTCTGATTCGCGGATTTAGGCCTATTCTAACGTGATACACATCAATGTCGAGATTTTCTGTATCAGTATTAAATCTCCCACCAAATGTAATAGCAACTTATATGAATCAGCGAGTGTTTTTCCATCGGGCTCGTGTTCTATTTGCTTTAACGTAATACTATTAATACCAAGTTTTTCTTAAATTGCTATTATATCCTTTTCTTTATATAAAAGTACTCCATATAAGAAGCAAATGTTTTGCTTTATTATTAAAATATCTAATATATTTAATGTAGAAATTAACGTATAATATATAAATTAAGCGAATGTAGCGAATTTAATCTGAAAACAATTATAACCACAAAGATTCTTCCAATTTATCACTTTCGAAATTATTTAATTTGCTTTTATACTTGGAAGAGGATATAAACACAATTCAGGAAGAACTTGGTATCGTTGGTTATACTAATCAAGAAATGGCGGAAGAAGCTGATGAAAACGCAAGAGCGTATCTCCGAAAGTTTGAGAAATTTCACCGTCCATTAGAAGATGTTCCAAGTGTATTAATACAGAAATTCATTGACAAGGGGGTAAAAATATTTTATTTTACTGGAGAGGGGCTCCCATTATTTCCGAATGTTTCTCCTCAACAATCACACGAAATTTTCGTAGGCTCGAAGAGCCATTGCTCCGCAATGAAAAATTATACTAGCACTAATCAGTGCCCATGTTTTGGACAGGTTAGCTAATCTACCTTCGGAAATATAATAATAATCTAATACTAATAGGCCTTATTACGAAGCTTATTTCCACGATGTTTTCGGATAGGAGAGACAACCTTTTTCTTTTTAATATGAACACGATTCTTTCGGGATTTTATTGGATTGAGATCATACCAGTCTGAATCCGTAGATTCTGAATCAGAGCTGAATGAATTAGTTTCTGTCTCAGACTTTATCCATGGTAGCTTTACTTTATTTATACAACTTAGTTCACACTCAATAATACGGAGTTTTTCAAAAATTCCATACTCTATATCATTTTCTATAGAATAAACTGACTTCCAAATATTATTGAGGTGCGTTTTGATTGAAAGCCTTCCACATCCATCACCTAAATCTACTTTAGGATATTTCTTAATCTTGCTAGCTCTGTTATTTTTGGAAAAATCATATCTTCTGGGAATTGGAGGCATATGAGGTATACTGTGAAATATTCCATGATGTCTCTTTCGGTGCTTATTATCTTCACTTCTGAGAGATAATTTCTTGAACATATCCACAAGTTTATCCAGAGTTTGATCGAGTTTCGACTCCATCAAATTAGATAAGTTATTTTTATTCGAGCTGGCTTTATTTACGGTGTACCCCAGGTACAAAAGTGACAAAAACTGCGAACCTGAGCAGTAGAGTAGTAGAGCAGTAGAGCAGTAGAGCA